CTTCTTGCTGCTAGTCATTAATCAGCCTACAACCATGGTATTAATTCAATTATTACTGTTGTTTGCATTGGGAGATGAAGGTGGTGAGGGCTGTTACTGCCTTCATAGTGATGCGAATTCAAGAAGGACCATCACAGTTGCAGAAGTGTTTGCTTCAATGAAAATCTCCCTTGCACTTGAGCTGCAGACAAGCTGAAGCAAGATTAATCTTCAAGGCTTCTCTGATCCAGACTATTCAAAACCTGCACTAAAGAACCAACAGTCTCTGTGGTGTTAGGGCCCACCTTCACCATCTGAGCAGTGCTGTGGGTCCTACATTCCTTGTGAAAGATAAAACCAGTGTCAGGGTCAGCAGGACAGCACCTTAAGCAGGGTGTGATGGTGTGCCCTGGGCTGTGCAGGGGACACAGCCCTTCCCCTTCTGGAGGTCTGTACACAGTTTGCCTGCAGTGAATCCAGAGAGCCCTGGAAGTGTCCTACCTGCGCACAGACTGTCAGCACCCCGCACACACTGCACAGCCGGGACCGGGGTTTGATCCCTTCCCTGAGCCATCTTCTGTTAACCTGTGCATCCACATTACACTAATGCCTGAAATTACAGACAGGCTGTGTGGTTAGCCACTGAAGAGAGAATGAGTATCTTTGGGACTTTCTGATTCTTGCTTCACGTTTCCAGAAGTGATATGGAACACCTTAAATCCCGAAGAAATGTCCAGTCTCTACGTGCTTTGGATAGAAAAAAAGGGACCTGTTTTTGAAATCCAGACATATGGCTGTGCCGGGAAAGGTGCTCTGTTTTGTAAGAGTGACAAGTGGGGGTAAGCAATGTTACTTCTAACCCTTTTCGGGCTGCTTAAATCCCAGGGACTAGAAGTAATGTAGCAACAGTCTCAGATGACTACCCTTCCTTCCATGTTTTCATTGGATGAAATGAAGAACAGAAAATTTTGAATGTTTGTCCAAGTCAGCTGTGACTTTGGATGAAAATCAAACCAACTTGTCTCCACTTAAATCTCAAATAAAAACTCTATAATCTAATAAATTTCATAGATGTCTAAAAAACCCACACTTTTAAATTAAGTAGTACTTAAATTATTTATTGTATTATTCTCTATTGTCTAATCCAACTAAATTCACATTTGAGATTAAATTATGACTGGCTCATATTATTGGTATGAAACATCTCAGTGCTGTTGCTTTGAACCTGCGGTACACATCCTCTGTGTACAAATCTGCAAGGAATTAAGTTACATGCATTTCTCAGTTCAGTTGGCAGATCCATGAGACTTTGGTGGGGAAAAAAAATAAAATATGTGAATCCAGATTCAGCAAGATTTGCTTTGATATTTCTCTCATTTTATGGACTAGGCTAACTGCACTGTTTTCTTGAACTACAGTCATGTCTTAAGCATTCATCTCTGACAACAGCAAAACACACTGATTCACAAAATCTGTCTAGATTAGATTTAGGCTGACAAAAGACAAATACGTTAAACTTGTATAATACTTATTATATCATAATCCTTTGAGCAGATTGATGCATCCCTGCTAATAAAGTTACAGTCACCGCTTTTCCACTTTTCCCAGCATTCTCATTTCTTTTCAGTGTAATTGATCCTTTAGGATTTTTAAGCTTGGCCTCAGAACCACTTGTGTTTGAACTCTGGAGAGCATTATGCTGAAGAAAACCATTAAAACATATTTAAATGCGATTATGTGGCAAGAAGCGGTACTCAAAAAAGGTGCAATGGGGGATTATGTGTTTATTATCAGCTGCGGTTCAGATCTGCCCTATTCACAGAAAAGAGAGAGCAGAAGACATTATTTCTAACTGCTACTTTTCCAAAATCAACCTGGGACTTCACTGGATCTGTTTTTGCATTACTGAAAGTTACTGTAAATTGCAGCTTGGTAATTCTAGTGATATGTGGATCAGGAGCTTCAATAAACCCTTCAACTACCTTATCTGCCAGGGATGCAAATAACAGTAATTGCTGAATAATATTTCCTAAATTTCACTTTACTTTTGACTTTGCCAAGGGGTTATAAAATAGCCTGCTATTTGAATAATCACTTTTTTAAAAAAGACAACAACTATGTGGTGAGGATTTAAGCCCCAGATGAAAAAAAAGAGGAGCTCCAATAAACTGGCATGTCAGCCTAAGTGACAGGCAGAAATGGAAGATGCCTGGCATATAGATTAATTGTAATGTGCTGGAGCTGGGATGCACCAACTAGAACAGTAACACAAGAGTGTTGTCCATGTCCATGGGATTTAGGGTGATTGAAGTTATCAGCCTTTTACATTGGTGGGCAAGTCGTAATACAGAACTAACAAAGAAAGGGTTGCTGTACACCAAAGACTGTCAGGTTTGGATTTCAATGAGTGAATACTTTGCTCCTTCTGCATGGACAGTGACAAGCCAGCCCTGCTCACAGTGGCCAGAGTCCCCTTTTATCTCCAGCCCCTCTGGCCCTGCTGCTCCGCGCCAGTGTGTCCGCAATCAGCACTGCCAGCACGGGGGAAGGAGGCTGCAGCTCTGGCTGTGAGGGATAGGGAAGAGCTGGGGTCCAGCAGTGGAAGAAGAAGGTGGAAGAGATCTATCAAAGACAGCAGCAATTAGATTTGCTCCAGAAATTGTTAAGAATGGCTGAGCTATCTTCTGGGTAGTTTAGAAATAATACTTAAGAGATAGAAGACTACTGGGGCCTAGACACACCAAATCACCTATGATGTGCATTGCTTTGCTCCTTGTTCTCCAGGCTTCCCACCTCTCTGGGATTGGTTCTGTGTATACAGCGTGCAAGTACTGCTTAAAATGGTGTCGCAAGTGTGAAGCACTTGAGAAGATACAAAGATAACATTTTATCATTGTTCAAATTCCACCTTGCACATTGCCTCAAAAAAAAATACTTTGATGAAAAAAATCAATTTGCCCATAAAATAAGTAATGGGATTCTGTATAACTCTACAGACTACACACACTATTGATGACACTTTAAACTCCTGATTTAATCAGCTTTTCAGTGTCAGTTTTTATTTGTATAATAATATCACAACTGAAATGAAAATTCGAGAAGCAGAAAACAGCTACATGTTTGATGTCACATGTGAAAGTCTTAGATATTTAGCCACTTCTTTGATGCTTTGATCTCTAAAGAAATCTTACTAAAATTACGATCAAAGGAATTTATATTATTGCAAGTACTTAAGAACGAACCATCTTAGGGCAATAATCAGTATTCTGTTTAATCCATCACCCTCGGAATCCATTATTGCTAAGCACCTCAATCTGATGGGAGTTATATTTACTTAAGGATGATATTCTCCTCAAACAGAGTTAGAAGTACCAGGAAGCAACACTTCCAACTTACAAATAGAGCCAAGAAATGGATTTGATTCTTCTGGCTAAAAAGTGCTCTTTGAAGCCGTTTTTTAAACGTACATAACTTAGGAAAATTGGTATGCAGATCATTATGAGACTGTGCAGAGTTTTATTTTTCTACAGCAAAGAAATAGAATTTCCAATACACAGCTACTTTTAATTTAATCTATTTCTAACTATTTCCTACTGTCAGTGTTTATAGAAGACTATTACACAGATGGATATATCTAATATTTATAAAGTAAATTAACACTCTACTTTATAACATGCAAAGGCAGATAAATAATGAATTATCCTTTTCATCAATCTGACCACATAATGCCTATTTCACTGTAATATTAAGTACCACACCAGACTGGTAGTTGTAATCCCCCATGGTGAGTTATATCAGTTTAATACAAAGAATTCCTAAACTGCAGCCTACAGAACAGGAAAAGAACATGAGAGCCAAGCAAGATATAACAAAAACATTAATTACTGGTTAGATTATGGATTTACTGATGATTTATTGATGAGAAGTAAAGGAGAGTTGTACTTTTGCAGGAGCAAGTAAGAGATGAAACCATGACTCCCAGTCACAGCCACAGTCTTCATAACCTCCCACATCCTAACTAAACAATTCCTCCTCCTCCTGTTTCACCTGCACAGATTATTTTTCTTCCTGCACACCCCACTCACAAAGGTGGACTTTAATTTTGCAGTGGTTTCCTACTATTTATATCCCCATGCTCCATCACTCTTTAACGGTGAAAGATTACGAGCAGACTAATGTGCAAACACCTCTGCCTGCGAATGCACTGCTGTAAGCATTCTTCCAAGCTGACAAGAAAACATGCCCACTCTAAATGAAAATCAATCTCTGTTAAATCTGTTAGCTCCAGCTCATTTGGGCTGGCACTGCTGTAAGAGCTCACAAAGAGGTGTGCTGAAGCAGGAGTATCACACATTCAGCTTTGAAAGATGGCAGATGCACCAGGAATGCAAGTGCATCTGAGAGATTCAAATAGATGACAGAGGCAGACATGGGTTAATCACGTTTCTGACAAACCCACTAGTAGGTTATCTTTCCTTTGGGCTGAGGGAAAGGCCTGTCAAAGAATGCTTTCAAAGGCACAAGGTTAATTCATGCTGGAGCACCTTCTGTCCTGACTTCAGCATTCTGTACAGTCGGTTGTCACGCCCTTATAGATTCAATTTGGTTTTGTTCTCTTTTCATCTACACCACTGGAAAGCAGGAAGCTGCACAAACAAGGAGATGGCCCTCCAACTCAGGAATATCACACGACTCCTAAAGGCACCCACATGACCTGTCCGTAGTCACAATTCATGAGAACCATGGGGCACAGGAGTTCCTCTGTGCCCCTGCCACTGTGGACTCCAGGATTAACTCCAGTTAATCAATACCTACAGAGCAACTCCCAGAGAAATAATTCTGCCTCATTAGAGCTCATAACCCAGGTGGCACAACAGAATCTTCTGCTGCCTTTAGTACAAGTCCACTCCATGGCTTTTTCAGACCTAGGATCTTGGGAAACTTAAATGATGAGCTGTACCATGTAGTAATTTTACCTTCAGCTGTGTGATAAAATGCTTTTATCTTGGAAAATTACTTACTTGATTAAAGTGCTGAAGTTTGTCAATTAAATTACTGATGAGCGGGTCCAATCCTCTGACTTTCAGTTCTGGATTATTAATTTGTGCCTTCAGTCCATTGGAAACAACTCTGCTGGTATAACTAAAACAGAAGAAAAATAAAACATCAGTAACTGGAACCATGTCCATTGGAATCAAAAATCTTATTAAACAGGGCTTACAAAAACCAAATATTTTGTAAATGGGAATAAAAATTTGTAATAAAATATTTATGTTTTTAAATATTCCAGCCAGAATAAAAGTCATAGTTTCTTGCAGTATCATTCATCACTTCAAACAATTCAAGTCATGAACAAACAGAAATTTCATAAGCCACACAGAGGTTCATTTCATTTTCATTCATAACCAACATTCTTAAGTTCTTCCATGCAACTGATATTTTCCAAAAATTCTTTCATTATTGCAGAAACTTGGGGAATTTTGGTCAGAAATTCAACATTTTGAGAAGAAGGAAAAACCTAGTGAAACAGCAGTCTCACTTCAAAAACATTCATACTCGAAGCGTGAGATTGGACTCCTCTTGCCGGGCCAGTCGTTTATCACCAAACTGTCTGGAGACACTGCAAAGCAGCACCTGCTGCTCTACCAGAGCTCCTCCCTGTGCCTTATCTGCATCAGAACTCAATAGCCAGGACCCACACACAGGAATTGTCTTTAACCAAGTCCTACTTTACCTGAGGAATAGCAGCTGTTGTCTAACCCACTCCTGTCACCTACAACTGTTGACTGAACAGTTTCTGCCAGTCTTTTCTGGAACACACCACAGGGTATTCACAAAACCTAACTGGGATAGGGCTCCACCCATGCACTCTCATGGGGAAAATTCTGGGGTTGTGCACATTTGGTCTCTACTTCTCTACATGCCTGTACACAGTCTTTATGACTGAGACTCTAAAAGTCACATTTCAGTTGAGGAGGTAAATTCATCAGCACATGTTTGCTGAATCCAGTGCTTCCTGGAAGTATCCAAATTCCTGCATGTCAGCTTCAGTGTTTATCTGTTTGTGTATGACTTGGGTTCAACCCCCCCTCACAAGACTGCAAGTCCCAGAGAGCTACAGCGCAACCTTCTTCCGGCAAGTCATGCTTTGAAGGGCTGTATGAACCATTGAGTTCAGCACCTATTTGTCACAGAGTGGATCAGGGATGTCTGCGTGACCAGTTACGGATCAGAAAGTGACTGTTCCCAAATCAAACTCTCCCAGACTCACACACTCGCACGGGAGGATCCCAAGTAGGCATCTCTATAAGTGAGGTAGTAATTGGCTCTGCTCCTTTGGACTGAAACATCGAGAGAAACAGCATGCTACATATTTCTCTTTGATCAGACCTACACACTTCGATATCCCAGATATTCTCCTATCAGTGAAACCTTCACTGTAAACCAATAGGTACTGAAGCTGAGGACAGCACTTCAAAATGGAAAAAAATGCCCAAAATCTATTAGAGAAAGACAACAGAAAAAGTTGGGGGGAGACCTAGCTCTCTGAATATATTTGTCCTATCTTAATTTCATTTAGGATGACCAACAAATCTATGCAAACTGCTGGGAAAGCACACTGTAGTACCCTGCTGTTAAAAGTGTGACTTAGGAACAGAAAGAACTGAGAATGGCCCACTTTCTTCAACAAATGTCACTTCTCAGGGGAAAAAAAACCAAAAACCAAAAACCAAACAAAAAAAAAATTGTTTAGAACAAAGAATTGACAAAAAATCATGTTTTGCCCTAATAGCCAGATAGTTTTTAAAGGACAAACCTTCAGGAAAACTTTTTTGAGTGAGTTTGTATTTTTTTGTCCATTGAGTCTTTTAAAGGCAATGTTCTAATTTTTCTTGCTGTGTAACTGATCTGGAAGTATAAACTTTCATGATGCAATGGCATGTCCAAACTAATGGCTGAGTTCAGATCTTAAAAGCAGACTCAGAGAGCTGGACTGATGTCCCCAGGAAGAACCCAGCTAAAGTATTATTTTCAAGTCAAGAGTGGTATGGATCACATCAATCCACATCAATTCATTTGGATGATATAACAACACTGCTGTGTCTCACTCACATTTAGCTTTAGCTTTATTCACAAATCCTACTATTTGCTGAATGCTCAACACAGTTCACCATGTGAAAACACATGATCACATGCTGTAGAAGTACAGGGACACTTGACACAGCTTCCTGAGATCACCTAGTTGCAATACAGCAGAATTTCAATCTAATGGGCCAGCTCCTGGCCTCCACCAGTCTGTTTGGTAACTCCCTGTGTGTGTTGCTTTGTCTGATCAGAAACTCATCAACAGCAGCAAAAGGAAGGGTTTTCCTTTTCACTGCTCGACAGCTCTCAGTTCAACCGCTGGTTAGAGCGATTGGAATTGCTCTAGAGGCTTATGTCACTATAGTCCAGGATAAAGAATGCAAAATTGTTTCCCCTCTGGGTTGGCTGGGGTGTTTTTTGACAAATGCTATTGTTTTTTTTCCCCGTGAATCACAACCCTCCATGAAATGCCTCTAAGCAGTGTTTCAAACCTACAGCACTGCACAGAGTTTGCATAAAGACCATCGGTTCAGCATTAATGCCAGAGTCCTCACAGGGACCCAAAATGGGGAAAGTCCATCTCAACCAACTCATACATATTGCTATTGCTAAATACACACTTTTACACACATCATTATCAGGAAAATAGGACTATTTGGTACGAATGAGTTTACAGTCCATGGAGGCACAGGGGACACTCGAATACTTAAAGTTTCACGTGTTTAAGGACTCACTCCTTGAAGCTCTAGAGATATGCACACATTATGCGCAGATATTTCTGTTGCCCAGATTGCTTGCAGTTTGATTCATAACATGGATTACTTATATTTCACAAGTCAGAGTCTGCATGCATGAGCTGTGTGAATCCTGCATCAGTTCCTTTATTTCCTTGGTCTAGTATGGCTGCACTGTGGCAGTCACTAATGACTACAACTAACTGCTAAGGTCAGGCTCCAGCAAGCCAGAACTGGCCCAGCTCTAGTCTGGAACATGACCTGCACAACTGGAAATGCTCACAAAACCAACTAGAGAGCTGTGGGGAAATAGATGTGATCTGCCCAATGAGTAGGGTAAACGGCTGATGGAAAGAGAGGCAAAAGACTTATATGCAGAAACCAACAAAACCAGCTCTTGGGTTTTCCCATGACCACCTGTAACAAGCTGTGCTTGTCCTGTGTGTTCTCACCGAGAGATCACTGCTAGACAAAACTCGAGCCTGGAAAGACTCAGATGGGGAGTTCACTGAAGATGGGCTACACCTCTCAAGGAGGAGACAGAGCAGAGAACTGCAGGAGAACTGCACTGCCAGAGAGAAGGGAGCAATTCCCCCAGTCCATCCCAGTCAAGAACCAAAGACTGCACCACAAACAAACATTATGTCCCTCTGACCCAAATCCCACTCTGTAAATTGAAAATCCTTCTACTAGCTCTGTATCACACTAAAATGCTTTGAAATAAACACTATACATTTCCTGAAAGATAATCTGATTACTTTACTTCTTTGCACTATCTAAACCATTTTTTTTGTTGACATCAGATCCTGAATTACTGGAAATGTACATTAGGTAAGATCAGAAATTGGCTTGCTTTATTTAATAACCTGCAATTTAACTGAAATATTGTAGTATAGAATTGTTAACTCTGGTTACAGCTCTAGTACTTTATTCAAACTAAACCCAGAAATGTCAGCAGGAATGGCCTGGAAAGTTGTATTAAAATATTGTCACTGGAGCAATCCTGAAAGTAACTGTTACACTGGTGCCCAAAGAACAGCATGTGCAGACAGAATTTTCATCCAAACCTCAAGCCTCAGGCCAATGTTATTCCACTGACTAATTGGGCTAAGCTACGATACCTTAAAAAGCAAAAAAACCAAACCAACCTCCCAAACCCAATTTTTCAGTATTTCAGAAGAACAGTATTAATTATTCTAGATCTCAGCTAACAGAGCTTCTCAGAGGTTTTAAATGTAAAAAGTGAAATGCTGTTTTCACATAGCATTGCATTTCAGCTGAAGGCACACATTTTCATATTCTACATAAATAAAGATATATTAAGATATTTGAGTCTAAACGCCCATTTTGAAATAAAGCCTGATCATCTTCTTTTGTGTTCTGAAATGTGTCCTTTTTAATTCCTAATATGAAAACGTATCGAGATACAGGGTTCCCTCAAAGACAAATAGGGCTTTCTAGATAGTTCAATAATTTAAAAACAATATACAAAATAGAAATTACTTGGAATTCCAGGTAAACCACTGCAGGAGCTGCATTAGGGATAGATGTAACCAGCGGCAATACTTAGCCACAAAAGCCCGAGGGACAGGGTGCTGTTTTCACACCACTTCCTTTTCTGTTCCCTCTTCCCTACAGGAGACCGTATCAGTCAGGATACTGCAGGCAGATTTTCCAAGTATTATCCATCAACTTCCAGCTGGGAGACTATTTCCACTGTTCCATATTCCTCAGAGCACCATTACCCTGAGCTGTGTCCCTGTGTCTAATGGCCTGCCCCTTTCCTGAATAAGTCAGCTTCAGCACACCCACTCACCAGGGGGATTATGGAGCAAGACCTCACCACATTCCAAATGCTTGGCACGTGCACTGAGCATTTCAGAATTAACTGCATTGCAAATTCAGGATTCCCGGAACCCAAACTCCATCTGAATTGCAGTTCTCTAAATTTTAGTTTTCTTTTCTCCACTTGAATATTTGGCCCAACACAATTGCACGAGAGGCATCAAAATTCTTATTTAACTGTGGAATAAATAGGACAAACATCACATGGCAAGTCAGAAAATCTGAGCCTCATATTTACTTCAGTAGAATCCAGGAACTGCCATAAACATCTCTATAGGACAGAAACTGCTTTTGATGAAATAATTTGTCATACAACCTTGAGAGTTGCCACACATGGAGAATAAGAATAAAATGCACTGGCTACAAAACTAAATATATATTTGCTGAAAATGTTTCTAAGTTGTTGACCACACTTTTAGGAAAATATAATTACACTCTACACATCATCAAGGTAACAATTTTGAAGCAGAAATAATT